AGAAAAATATTAAAATAAACAAATCAACTTTTTGGTTATTAGTTGATAAAATTAAATTTCATCCTATTTTTTATTCAAATTCTAATAATATTCAAACAGATATTGCTATTCAACTTGCAGTAATATTATATCGACTTGGAACAAATTCTTCTCTTTAGACTATTGCAACTTTATTTGGAAAAAGTGAAGCAACAATTTTTATTTTTTTAGATCGATTAATTATTGCTTTACAATCTTTAAGAGAAAAATATATTATTTGGCCTTGTGATGATTATCAAAAAAAGGTAAATCAAGAATTTGAAATTTTGGGTTTTCCAATAGCAATTAAAGCAATTGATGGAACTCATATACCTTTAAATGAAGCTCCAAGTAAAATTAATAAAGACATATATATGTCTCGTAAACATCGATATGGTATTTATTTACAAGGAATTGTTGATCATAAAAGATATTTTATTTCTTATAATATTGGTTAGCCTGCATCAGTTCATGATGCAAAAGTATTTAAAAATTCTGATATATATAAGCAGCATAATTTTTTTATTGAAAATGAAGATTATTTATTAGAAGATTCTGCATATCTATTATTATCATGAATAATGATACCTTTTAAAGATCCACAAAGTTTAAATACAGAAAAACAAAAATATTATGATACAATTCATAGTAAAGCAAGAGTTGTTATTAAACAAGTATTTGGAAGATTAAAGGCTAGATTTCCTTTTTTAAAAGAAATGAGATTAAAAGATATAACTAAAGGAACAAAAATTATAGATATTGCTTTAATTTTACATAATTTTATTAAAAAAATAATGATAAATAGGGACAAAATAATGATGATGATCCAATTGAATTAGAATTAGAAACTTTTAAACTAGATAATGATCAATTTGATGATAATGAAAATAATTCAGAAGATAAAAATAATGCAAAAATTAAGCAACAAAATTTATTAAAAATTATTTGTATGAATATGTTTTCTTAATTTTATTTTTTTAAATATTAAATATTTTTAAAATTTTTATTTATTAATTATATTAGTAAATTTAATTATCTATTTTAATAAATTTATATTTTATACAGAGATTTATAAAAATTTTTAAAAAATTATTTTGATCTTAAAATTTTATTAATAAAATCAATAATATAATCTTAAGTAAAGTTATTTAAAAATTCTAATATTAGTTAAATTAATAAAATTAGATACTAATATTAAAAATTTAGATATAATCAAGAATTTATTATATTTTTTAGTAAATATAGAATCCTAAAAGTAATAAAAGTTTAATATATCTATATCTTTGAAAGTACTTGAGAGCTTAACTTATAGAAGATATACTATCCCTTAAACTGTAGACTTTTCTAGACAAATTTGTCTGGAAAATTATCATAAATATAGTTATGATCTACTTTTTTTAATTTTTAATATATTTAAATAAATTTTTTTTTGATAATATTTGAAAATAAGAATTATAT